ACCCCTTTCCCCACAGATACATCCCCCAAACCATATATAGCCCCCTCCATCGCTCCTACGACCCCCCCTGAACCCCTCACACCCCGGGGTCCTCACTAGCACAGGGATTTGGGGACCTTAAGGAGCGATGTACCCCCCCCCGGCAGGGACGTGCTCCCCCAGCCAGGACAGACCTGGAGCACGATGGCTGGCACTGAGAAAATCATGGCCTCGTTGAAGACGGGGTTGGTGTCGTCCCTCTTCACCGCCGTCTTCTTCTTGCTGATCTTCCTCCCGTCCTGCAGCAGGTACACCTTGACGAAGGGGTCTGCCCGGGGTGGGGGGAGAGAGAAAACCAGGGGTCAGTCATGCGCTTCCCCTGCGATATGGAGAAAGTGAGGGAACCATCTCTGGTGGAGCTTCCTGGTGGGGTCTGTCCTCAACGGGAGCCGCTCCACCAATCCAGGTGGCAAGAACCCAGCGTAGGATAAATGAGGGTGAGAGCCCACCTCCAGCCCGCAGAAGACCAAGGGACCTTGTGCCCACCGGGATCCCCCGCTCACCTGCGGTGACTTTGCCATTGGTCCACACCAGGTTCTTGGCTTTGACCACCACCACCGTCAGGCGCTCGGCCGTGGGCAGGTAGCTCAGGGAGAGCAGGATCTCCCCCACCGTGTCCACCGCCTGCAGGACACACCAGCCCATCACCCAGTGACCCCAGCCCAGCAGGGAGGAGAAACCCCCCCAAAAAACCTGGGGGGGCAGATAGACCAACCACCCCAACTCACCTTGTTCATGTCCTGCAGGTAGAGCCAGGCGTTGAAGGGCCGGGTGGCCAGGTCCAGGTCGGAGAGCTTCAGCTCGGCCACGCCGGTGCTGACGTTCCTCTCGTCCTCGTCGATGCCGAAGACGGAGAAGCGCAGGCTGTTCTCCTCCAGCGCCGCCGGGTCCAGCGGGATGGAGAACCGCTCGTCGAAGGCCACGGCGTAGGCGCTCCGCTGGATCTGCCACGGGGAAAGGGGGGAATTACCTCAGTACCCCCCGGGCTCGGGGGCTGCACCCCAGATCTGCTCTGCTCCTCTACTGGGAACTGCCAGAACATGGGGCTTTGGGGCAGTGAGGGCAGAGCATCCCCCAGCCCCACAGAACCATCAGATTGCCCGGGCTGGGAGGGACCTTCCAGACCATTGAGTCCAAACATCAACCCACCACTGACCCATGTCCCTCAGCACCACGTCTGCCCGGCTTTGAAACCCCTCCAGGGATGGAGACTCCACCACTGCCCTGGGCAGCCTCTGCCAAGGCTTCACAACCCTTTCCAGGAAGAAATCATTCCCAATCTCCATCCTAAACCTCCCCTGGTGCAACTTGAGGCTGTTTCCTCTTGTCCCATGGCCTGTTCCTTGGGAGAAGAGACCGACCCCCCCTGGCTACACCCTCCTTTCAGGGAGTTGGAGAGAGCGAGAAGGTCTCCCCTCAGCCTCCATTTCTCCAGGCTGAACACCCCCTGCTCCCTCAGCCTCTCCTCACAAGACTTGTTCTCCAGACCCCTCTCCACAGGGGACAAAAGCTCAGCACCTGGGGTAGGAAATAGGGGCCATGACCTGCCCTGTTGCCCATTAATTCTTTTAATTACAAACTGAAGGTTGCTCTGGTGCTCTCAGGTGCCAGCTCCACCACCCTGGGCTGCAGGACTCAGCCAAGGTGTAGCCCCCAGCCCTGCACAACCCCTCAACGTGCCAACGGGGACGATGCTTTTTCCCAGTCGCCGTCTCCACGTCTCACTGTTCCCCTGGAGCAAAGGCAGCAGCAGCTCCCGGGCCCCATCCTGCAGGTGCTGGTCACCACCCACTCCCAAAGCGCCGCGGGGGCAACTGCTCCCAGATCACGGCTTTGGAGACTGTTTTTTTTCCTACTCCAGCCCTATTTCTTTCAGCATCCAAGGTACCACCCACAAATCAGGGATTTGTCCTGAAGGAAGCCTGGTGCTCCCACAGGATGGGAGCCGTGGCCTCGGATGGCCCCAAGCAAAGCGGAGCCACCGGCTCCCCCTCCCCATCCCCGTGGTGGGAAAGGGACCCCGCTGCAGGAGGGGGGCCCAGCCCTGAACCCCTCGGGCTTCATCACCCCCAGGGCGCCTGGACCCCCCTGCAATGGTGGGGAGACAGTTCATCCCATCCCAAGGACTCCCTCACGTCTGTCTGTCTGTCTGCTCCTCGGCATGCTCCATCCCGGGGATGAAGAAGATGGAGCTGCTCACGAGGTGGGACCTTCCACCACCCCCTTCCCAGGCTCTCCCATGGGATACAGTCCCCGGGGATCAAACACCTCCGGGGGAAAAGCAGGTTCGTGGGTATCTGCTTTACAGCAGCCAGCACTGTCTGTCTGTCTGTCTG